TTGGGTTTTGCTTTAACACTGAATACATCCTCTGTGTTTGATGCTGGCTTTAAACACCATCAATTTTGTGCTGTCTCTTCACATCACAGATTTTAAGGAATAGTTACAAGTAGCCGTCACATTTCACTTCAGCTCTGTGATTAGAAAACACTTAAGTTTTGGTGTGGGTTGTATTTCTGTTGTTTTGGGATTTTTTAAAGTAATTTAAACCTTATAATCTTGCATCTTTTCAGGCAAATAAATGATTTATGTATAGCAGCTCACTTTTAGTTATCATTTAATTTTTCCCCCTTTTTAAGCTGCAGTGAAACCCTTGTCTCCTGTAGAACCATTGAAGCTACTAAATAATGTGGAATCACATATGAATTCAGATACAGAAAAGCAGGACTGCAGCCAAAGTTGTGATAAATCTGAAGAAAAAGACTCTAATCCAGAAGTGAATGCTGCTGATAAAAGCAGGACAGAATATTTGTATGAAGATCCTGAGATGGAGAAAAGCAAAGACAGTATTGCAGATAAAGATGTTTCTACAGGGGCTGAAGGAAGAATGTATTATCAGTGTGAAGGGGATGCTGAAGAGCTCAAGCCAAGCAGTGTGGATGGAGTAGAGGCTTCACAGCCTCCCTCTATGGATGCATTACATTCAAAAATCAAGGAGAGGCTGGCCCAGCTCCACATATCGACAGATTTTAACTTCACATCTGGTCTGGCTGCACAAGTTGCTGCCAGGTCTTTCACTTTTACTACAATGCAGGAAGAGACTTTTGGAGATGATGGGGAGGAGGAGGAGGAGGAAGAAGAAAAGACACAGGAGAATGAAGACCTTGTAGACAACTGTGAAAATGAAGAGAGAGGCTCTGAAAGTGAAGGAAAAGTATAAGTCTGAGCTGAACTTTATTAAACTAAGAGCAGGCAGCTTGATGGAAAAAAACTGAGGTGGGGGGTTTGAAGCTGAAAATACTGGATGGAAAAAAAAGGAGACCTGCATATAATACATCATGTTCCCTTAAGACTGATACACTAAATAGGACTTCTAAGTATATTGAAAATTTGCAGGTAAGAGAAGTTTGGGATGCATCCAAGAAATAGATGGCTGTCACTTTGCAAGATCCTAGTGATGGGGGTTGGAATCTACCTTTGTGTTTTCTATTTTATTTATTTATCGAATGACATATTGTAGTTTTTAATTTCTAAATAGAAGGAAAAACAATGTTTTGATTTACAACAGACTCCATTTTTTTCCTTTCTGATTCTTTTGTCATGGTATCAATGTTTGTTCCAACAAAAACAGCCAGGACATTTCTTTTGGAAGAACCTGAACTGTTCTCTGTGATTGTCCCCCACCACTTTTGTTTCACTGCTTGTGTCTGCAGTGTGTTGGCTAAGCCATGATAGGCATTTGTGATTCTTCAACTAGTGATATGGCACCCAGCTAAAATGTAGAATTTTAAATAAAAACTTGAAAGAGCTAGTATTTCATGTGTCCTGGGTATGGGGCTGAAATAGTATAAAGTTAGTCATGCTTCATATTAAGGTTTATTTAGAATTTTATGAAGGGTTAATAAATGATGTCTATAAGTTGTAATTCATGTTAGAGAAATGTGTTGTAAGTAAATTTTAGGGAAGATTATAAGCACACCAGTAGAAGGTACTACAGATAGCTAGAAGCTATCTATTGGATTGAGAGATGAGAAGTAAACACTTATTTATTAAGCCAGCTATTAATTGTTTGTTAACCTTTTGTAAACTGAACCTTAATGTAATTGTTTGATTTGATATAATGATCGATTGTACATTTTTGCTTATGTCCTGAAGTAATTTTCTTAAAGGAAATTATCTGTGAGCTTTGCAGTGTTTTGTTTGAACACCATACTTGCTTTTCACTAATGTTCTTTCCCTTTTCCTTAGATCACAGCTTTAATCTGTGGAATTAAGAATCCATGAGAGAACTACAGCTGTGTATTTTGTTTCTTGTAACTTAGTTAACTGATGATGAAGTCTGGATGTTTGGTATGAGGTTATGCAGGTTGCTTTTTTCTCTGTGGTGGTGTAACAAGGAGCAGGAAACTGATGCTAACCTCACAGAGGAGCTGGTTAATGGTTTCATTGTCCTCTCTTCCTTTTGCTGTCTGACACATAACAAAGTAAAGCTCCCGTGTCTCTAATGGTGAGAGCACCACTTCTTTGTGTGGAATACTCTGCTTGGACACCAGCTACACTTTCAGGACAAAACACTGCATCAGTTACTTAGAGTATTGATTGTGTTTTGCAGATTCTATAAAGGGCTTTTTAGATGCTGGTGGTGCAGAACAATATCTTTCTAGGATGGTGTCATGGAAAGCAGGGAAGGTAACACTGGTCAGCAGGTGAGGGTGGAACTCTTGATGGTATGTCAGAAAATGAGTGTTTTCCTTCAGCTCCCTGGCCTCTATTAGTGATTTTGCATGAACACTGTGAAATATGTGGACTTTCTCACAGATGGTAAAGAGGGAAATACCAGTTCATAGAGAAGGGAGTATGACTTACAGTGTTCTTTCACTGTAGAGTGCCTGTCTTCTCCCTCACACACAGGTTCTGGGAAGAGAACGTGTTGCCGTTTTTCATTGACCAGTAACACTGTGTTCTGTGTCCTTTATTTTGTGTAAGTGACTGGAAGCTGAGTGGTTGATGTCTTAAGGAGGTTGTAGGAAAAAAAAATCAGCTGCTTTTCATAGTGTATTCAGAAGATAAGCCTCCTCTTAGTGGTAGAATATATTCTTCTCTAACTAAAGATTAGGCTAAGATGATGAAACACTTTTATTTTCTCTGTAGTAAGCAATTTTTTTTTTTGACAAGTCTAGAACAGCTGCTTTGGATATTGTGTTTGAAGCATTGTCCATGCTTCTGAAGAAGTCTTCCTCATTCTTAACTTGAGATCCTCACAAAGTGCCCAGATATTTTTTGTTCCTAGCTAATTGTTGTGACAGCCTAAATGTATCTTCCATCAATATTTTTCCATCAACTCATCCACCATCATCTCATGATCTGATGTTGTGTATCCCAGAAAAGGTACTCCTGACCTTTTTCTATGGGATCCAAATCATAATTTACAGTGTGTAAGACTATGATACCAACCTGGAAATGTAATCAGATTTAGGATATTAATTATCACTGTGTTCACAGTTTCAGGTGAAGTCAGAAGTAGCCTGAGTTGCATTGGTACTGGAATTGGTGACCAATCTCACATTTATAAAAGCTGCTATCTCTTTATTCCTTTGCTGCAGTCCTTAGTAAAAATTCTGGAGAATCTACTTTGGTGGCTCACTTGGGGCCCAGTTTTTATTATATGCTGGTCTTGGTAATGAAACTGGCCTAAAAAGCCCTGTCCATCATGAGTTGTTCATTTTCCTCCAGCAGATGTGTCAACGTGGGGTTTTGTGGCCATGTTATAAACCAGTTCATGAGTCTAGCAGGTGAAAAATTCACCCCTTTTAGGCTTTTTTGTTTGTCACCATTCTCATTGCAGCAATGCAGTAACAGCAGTTACCTCAAAACAGCTGTGTCAGCACATACTGTGTTGCTGGCCTGAGGCTCAGGAGAGCCCACATTTACATTATTGGCAAAGATTGGTGTAGTGTGAAATTACAGCCTTGACATTAGACACAGCTGTGATCAAACAATGACCTTTTTGGAGGAAGTCCTGATCCTACTTTGAACAAATAGATTTTCTACAAGCAATTTAACTGATTTCCATGGTCTTATTTAATGCAGTCTTAGAAGATGCCCATATGAACACCTGGACTCACTTGTTTTCTCTGCCTCTCATCACCTCTGTATAAAACAGCCATCAGGTCATTTATTTTGATCCATTTAATATTCTCCTTGAAGAAAAATATTGCTAACAGTGTACAGCACACAAAGCCTGACTTCTCTCGAGTTGATAACCAGGTTCCATCTATGTATGTCATACACTCTGTTATGATCCAGATTTCCTCATAATTATGTCATTTGAAATGACTGTATATACATGCTGTAGGTTCCTTCATGAACCTGAAAGATTTCTTGGCATAATTTATTGCTGCCTTTAAAATAATGTTTGTGAACACACTGAAGTGTGCATTAGCTCTAATGAGTTGTCTTAATATATTGAGCATGTCAAGGTCTGAGTGCAGTTCTGTGTTCTTTGGCTGGTTACCCAAGATAGGGATTTTTGTGAAAACAGAACATTTGCTTCTTAGAGCTTTGCAACTTTTTGAAACATTTAGCAGGAAGTCCACAATAAATTATGGGTTATGACAAAGAATATCAGCAGCCAAAATCCTTTGTGAAGAGCAGAGCTAACAATAAATGCATTTTCCCTATCCCATTTCTAATTAGTAGTCCTGCGAAGTAAAGAAACAAGTTATATAGGGTTAAATAATTTCTTCTCCTTCTACCTGGAAAGCACTCCAAAGACAATATTTGCTTCTTGAATTGGATTACAATTTAACACTACATCTTTTTATATCGCTTCACTTTACAGCTAAAGATCTAGGTAAAGGCTTAAATCTAGGCAAAGATCTGTGATAAGAAAGTAACTTGTCCCTTTTTTTAAGTGTATGTAATTTAGAATTAAATTGTTGTGTCATGGAAGCAAATGTAGAGAGTTACAGATCATCTTTCAAATGCAATTAAATGTACCTCTGTCAACTACAGGCAAGATTTGCAAATGTGAAAGCTTCTGCCATCAGTCATAGAAATGAGACAGTTTTACTTCCAGCAGAGGATTGCTGGACATCACTGAATCATGTACTTAGATTTCTAAATGCAAGATGGTATCTGATAGAGTAGCCAGTTTTACTGAGATATCAGACTTTGTCCCAAGCACACCTGTCTCCATGTGACTGTTGCAATATTGGAAATTTTATGTTTTTTTCAGAAGTGCTAAATTTGCAACTTTCTCATTAATTTATATGGTGGACTGTGTGGAGTTGTTTGCCCACACTAAATTCTGTAGTCTTATAGGTTATCCCTTTCTTCTGTTTTTCCTTTTTTTTTTTTTTTTAACAAACAAGAGAACAAGTACACTAAACTGCCCTTGGGCTTTAAACTATATTGTGAAGGGTGACTGTAGTTCTGCAAGTGGCTTGTTCCCAGAGCTAACTGTTTTTTCGCATTAACAGATTCCATACTATCTCATCTGAGCAGAGTGAGAGAATGGCACTTGGTCAGTGTAAAGAGCCAGGCTGCTCTGAGATCTTGTCTGTGACAGGGACTAAACAGATGCTGAGGGAAACTATTGTGTAGGGATATTCTCCAAACTATTCCTCAGATATTTGTGGCTCAGGAACTTCTTGACCCAGTGGTGGTGGATGTCACCTTAACAGGTTCTGATGGAATCCTGCTCCATAGATTTGCTCAGGCTCATGTTTGGTCAATTTTTCCTAGACCCAGTGCCAGTACATCATCATTACTGTCTTGTACACATGAGAAGATTTGTCAATAAACTTCTTTGATGTTCTGCTTTCCTCAGTCATTCTGCAGAGGTCCTGTTTTCTGCCTTTTGTTTGCTTTCCTTACAAATCTCTCCAGTTTTGGGTGTATAATGACCAAAGTGTGGTGCAGTACTCCATACTAACCTCAGCAGTGCAGAGTACAGAGTAATAATCACCTCCCATGAAACACCAAACCTTTCAAATGTATTTGAGTCCATATATAAAGAAAAATTCTTTTAGATCTTTTAGCCCTAGCTATTAGGATGGCAAATGAAAATATTTGGTCTGATGGAGGAGAAATATTTATTCACTGTCAGCAGGATTTGGCTGGACAATGTTTTTCTTTGCTAACAAAACAAAAAGTTGTTAAAACAAAACGATCTCCCAACAGCTGCCACCTGGTCTAACACAAACTAAAGATGCCAAACAACACTTGTTTAAATTTCAATTTGACTTTGCAGAGCTTGTTTGGTCTCTGATGCGAAATAAATTATCACACAAGAAACATGGCATTGGATATATCGATATCAGAGATCAAACCAAAGGCCTCTCAACCAAAGGCTAATATTTAAAATGCTTGGTGGTGTGCTTTATTCATTTTCTCATTATATTTAATTCTCTCCTGTATATGTGTTTATTTTGCCACCTGGAATTTTAAATGCTAAAAAATACATCCAATTTATTCAACTTGGAAATTTGTGCAGAAATCAGATAAGAGGTAATGGTAGTGTGTGGTAAGACACAGTCATAGCAAGGGGTAAAATCTACCTGCCATGAACTGCCCTTTGTAGATGGATAAAGCAATGTGGCTTGAGCTACAGCTGGATATGACACTGTTCTTGATGTGCTGCCTTCCCTTTCACACTGCAGTGGCTCAGGTTATTGGCAGCTTATCAGAACAGAACTTGGCTCAACAGGGTGAGTGCACTGTTAGCCCATGTTACACTGTCTGTATCGAACACAGGATTCTGAAAAAGCCCCTGCAATTAATAGACAAGGAAAAAGTTTCTTTGTTACAAAGTGGCTTATTGTAAAAGGGTTGAATGGGACCAAAACTTGACTACTTTCATGTGATCAGCATATCTTGACCCTTGTACCTTCTCAGCTTTAAATCTTAAAGGCCTCCTGGACAGTTTGCTTTAGAGGATGCACTTCTATGACAGCTTAAATCACTTCATGGTCATGAAATCCAGTCCCTCTTCTAGGCTGGCTTTTGTGAGCACTCAGTGATCTAGGATATGGATAGGACTGGAAGTACATCAGTGCTTTAACTTGCAGCTGGCTTCCTCAGTCCTAAAGAGGATGTTGCCACTCCTTACTTTCCTCACTCATTTTGATTTCTTTTGCTTCTTGAGGCCTAGGCTGCCCAAGACCATTTGTGTCTTATTCCCCAAAGTTTCTAGGAACTGTTTATGATACTGCCAGTAAAACTGAAATTATTGTGCATGTTTTTTTCTACTTACTCGTTTCATCCTTCTGGACCCTCTGACATCCATGGTCCTCTCCCTTTACCACCACTCTTAAGAGGTTCAGATTTTGAAATAACACACAAATTCTTTTTATGTGTATTTGTAACAGAAGTAACTAGACCTAGAGTTGTGTACTGACTTTCTCACTTGAGAACTGAAACAGAAGGCAGGCACCATAAATGGGGAATGTACAGTCAAAACAGAAATAATAATGTATAACAGCTCAAATTTATACCACACTCCTGGTGTATATTGACTCTTATAGGTAATTCTGGCTTACTGAAAAACATTTTACAGTTGCATTTTAAAAATAACTGCAACTCTATTACAAGGTCCCAAAATAAGTGTCATTAGTTGGCTTGATTTGTGCTCAAATCTTAATATTTAAAGATTGCTTCCTGACCTTCTCCAGCTGCGTGGATGAGAACTGAAAATAATCTCAGATTTCCAAAGAGAGAGCGACCAATCCTTTCCGTTACTTTGTGCTATTAAAGAAAGGTCCATTCCTAAACAAACAAAAAGAGAAATGTCAGTATCTTCAATAGCCATTACTGACAGAGAATCATGCATTTGATCTCAATAGAAGCACCATAAATGCAGGCTATTTATAATGTTTGATATCTGTGTTTCAATAATAATAATAATAGGCTTTAACTGTATTATGGGATAAAAGCCAGAAATGTACAAACTGTCCAGTAGATCTTTCATCCAAAGGCACAGCTGGTGAAATTTAAACAAGTTCATGTTGGCTGTTCCTGCACTGCTCAGTATGACATTGCAGTCCAAGCTTTTCATGTCCCAGCGTGGATGTTCACGGGTGGTCTGCAGGCACCTGTGTGCTTGAGGTCTGCAAAGCTTGCAGTGATCACAGCACATTGCTGAGTGAAACCTAAATAGGAACAGGATGCTTCACAAATATTTTGGATTTATTGTCTGTCTTCCTCTGTTGTAGCATCCATGCTGTATGCAATCCCACTTGGGAACTTTTTCCTTCCCACCTTTCCTTTTCATAGGCCACACAAACCAGTTGAGGAGGGTTTTATAGTTTGTTTCTCACCTGTGGGACTATCTGTAATGCACCAGATAAGTTATCCCCCGCAGAAACTTAAACATTAGTGATCAAACTGCAAAGCCTGGGCTGAAGAAGCTCTTCTGGTTTGACCACTTCTGCAAAGGGTTCTCCTGAGATGGGTGACCACAGGAGTGCTGAGCTAAGTGCGATGACTCTGCAGGTGTCTTTCAAAGCTCCAGTTTTTACTAAGTCTGACCTTTTCTCTGATTGTCTCTCTCTTCCCTCTTAGCTGCCTTCAGCTCTTCTCCAGCATTCTCTGGCCAACTGCTGAGGTATTTGGCCGCTTTTTTCCGTTAGTTCTGAGGTCTTTGTCTAAACTTTATGAAATGATAGGCTAGAGGGAGTCCACGCCAAGGTGCTGCTGTGCATCCTCAGTCATAAACTCATAAACAGAAGGGTTGGTAGGGCTGGTGCAATGTCTGTCCTGACATTCCTTCCAGGAAGCTCTGACCTACATTTCAACCTGGCCTCCTGTTTCTTCCCACTTCAGAACTTCACTCCCAGGAATTTCCTTCCCTCCCTAATGATTGTAAGATGCTAATGCCTCCTCAGCAAGACTGACCCTCGAACACATGTTCTTCATTACACGAGCCTTACTTGTGCTTTCCCACAGGAGGGTGGCACAGGCATGGCTGAGTCTGCCTTCCCCTTAAAATTTTGCTGCTTTTAGCAGTAGGGGCTGAACATGTACTCTCCAGCTGCTATGTTAATGTGCTTTGGCTCCACAGTTGCCTGATCTTGAGCTCAGAAAGCGCTGGGATCTAGCAGTTGTGCTTAAACCTTTCCCACTGGTAAAGAGCAGGTGTTTTCAGAATACAAGTATTACTAAATTTCCCTGAATAGAACCATTTTGAGTTTTTATTGAGGAGCATAAACAAATTATTTCTTAATTTAAGAGGTTTGAATAAGCTTTATAAATATATATATATATATATGTGTGTGTGTGTATACATACATACAGATATATATATATGTATATACATACACACACCCCCCTTCATGATGTAAATGTGTATTGCCAGATGTCCCACTGCAAGGCTTGTCTAGCATTGAGGCTGTATTTTTTTCTTATCAAACTATCCCATTACTTACTTGAAAGGTAAACAAAAGCTTAATTCTTGCTATCCAAAGGCAAAAGAATGGTATTCTACCAAGCAAACTGTGGAAGTATTTCAAACCTGATTTTACATCTTTTATTAGAAAAGCTGCTTCAGTTTGTTTTCACTTGTCAAGTCTTTGCACCTGAGCTGCTGTGAGTGCCTGTCATTTTCCCTGTCTTAAACATGTAAACAAATATATGTTCCTCAATATCTCCGGCCTGCTAGTCCTAGCATTTTCCAAAACAGGGCCCAAAAGGCAGCATAGAACAAGGAACACAGGGAAGGGAAAGAAAAGAATCTTGATAAGCTGCTGCTTAATTGGCTAATAAATGAGAGCTAAAATGTAAGAGGAAAAAGAGGAAATGTTCAAAAGAACAAACTGCAGCAAGAGACTTCTGGCAGGGCTACAGAGGGAAATCACATGATACATTCTGAAGTTTGCAGACACTGGGAAGGATCCACAGTTTCTTGTCCATGTGGAGACAGGAAACACTCACCAGACTGGTAGTCTTCAGCAGCTTTTTTTTAAAACAAGGCTCTATTTTATGTATGTTTCATTCCCATAAAAAGACTTGCTGGTTTTTGTGCTCTATGTGTAATCAACCTCTGCACCTCTTCCTTTAAGTTCTGTGTGAAGTCAGGCTCCTTCCTTGCACTGCACTGAAAGCCTGTGTGCTTTGGCTCTGCGGAGCCCCCCCTGCACCCACCCTGCCCGTGGCTGATGCTGCTTTAAACAGGGCCATTGGATCAGCCTCCAGGAGGTTCTGATCAGCAGGTCCTTAAAGCAGGTATGAAGCCCGGGGGCTGGCTGTGCTAGGGCTCCAAGAACTCAAGTTCTGGGTTGGATGTAGGCAGTAGCAGGAAGACATTCCTGGATGCTGACCTTTTGTTGTGATAGGGCTTCCTGCCTATGACATTTCCCCAAATTATTTTGTTTCTCTTTTTTGTACTTCATTTACCTCCATTCTTTTTTCCCATGGATATGAATTTGGACGTAAGGTCTTCTTTACATATTTAATCATGTACATCACCAGGATTATTTTTAAGCCATTTTAAAATTTTTGCCTGGGTTTCCCCAGTTTCAGAAGTAGTTTTCTTAACTGTAATGCTAACCACTTTTAAAGTCTTTTTGGTTGCTATTATTTCTTCAGCATCTGTAATAAAATTCTGCCTCACTAATGTCTGTGTCATTTTTTCTCTTTATCCTGTATCCCTGACAGTTGCCTAGGTGGAGTGGATGTGGCTTATCCATCCTCCAATTAGTAATGATTGAATGGAATAGAGAACGCTTATACAGGGATGCAAAAATGCTGTATGAGCACTTTGCTTGATTTTTTTATACAGAGTTTTATTTATAATTCCACTTTCATCCTGAAGATGGAATTAATTTTAAGCAATCCTGGCAATAGTTTCTGCAGTATTTTTTGCTGACTCCTTGGTACAAGCACTTTAGTAATGAGCACTTGTTACTCTCTCCTGAATTAGTGATGACTGAAGAAAGAATGTTTTTCTATTGTGTCGTATGCTTCCCATTGTACCTTCCCCTCATCCTTCAGAGACCTCTGTGCTGTGGCAACTGTTGGCAAAACTCCTTTTAGCATCACCTAAATGCCTGTGTAGGTGGGGCTTTAGGAAGAGAATAATGTGTCAGTTGAGAACACTGGTAGCAGGTAGATCTTTAATCCAGGAATGGGGCTTAGGTGCTCTGCAGGAGATGTATTCACTTGTGTGTGACCCCTAAGAGACAGACTTCCTTTGTAGGCTTCAGAAGTGCCAAAAGAGCAGCAGCAGGACAGAGTCACTCCTTTTATCTGGAGCTTTTCCGTTCCCTGGTAATGCTTACACTTTTGTATCAGCACTTATCAAAGGCTGTGTTCTGCTGCTGTTAGGAGTTGTGGCTGATGTGCACCTCTTGCTGTAAATGTTCCCTGATTTGGTTTTAGGGTTAACAGCTACTGACCACACTTAGGTATGACCACTCTCACCTAATTCACATCCCCAGGAAGGCAGGCTTTAAAGGTTACTGGGAAAAAGGGAAATAATTTGATCATGAAAGGCAAGAGGTGAGGCAGGAGTATTTTTTCTTTTGAATCTCGCTGCCAAATTGGTGCATAATTCATTGTGCAAAAGGTCTTGCTTAATGTTTGCTGTTTTCAGGTTTGTGTGTTTGTTTTCATATGGAATACTGAACAGATCCAATTGCTGCTGTTAGAAGGAGATGTCTGTCTACCAAAAAGGAATCCAAAATGTTTTCCTTTACTTGGAGACTTCTTGAATGCTAAATTGCCTGTGTGTATACTTCATAATGTACCATATGCAAATATTCTTCAGGAATTGATACTACCACTTCAGTCAATATTTTCTATGTTAGAACTGTATGTTTCCTATACTGCCAAGAATGTATATATATCTATGAAGACTTAAGATTGTATCTTTTTGAGCAAGCCTCTTTCTTCAACCATCTGAAACTTTCTTCCTGTTTCTCAAGTTTTCTGCTAATTTATTAGACTCTTGTGTTATATTGTGTACTTTTTGTATCAGTTGTATTGCTGTATTTCTTCTTTCTGTCATTAAAACCTGTTCTTCTCATCCTTCTACTGTGCTGCTTCATATTGGAAGTACTCACACCATATCAATTAACAGATCTAGTGTAGTGGGTCAGCCTGAGGTGGATCCAGACCAGTCCTAAAAAGCCAATCATTCAGACATTATCTTGTTCCACTGATCCCAAAACATAATCAGCTTTAGTGTATTAAGCTTAATTTTGCAGCACAGTCTGTACTTTTACAATATAGTAAAGAAGAAACCTGGAATGGGACTCTCAAGGTATAAACAAATGGACAAGTACAAAAAATGTACTGAATTATGAAGCCCATAACTCTTATGGATGGTTGTTTCTGCCTACATTCATTAAGATATTGGTGGGCTTCCTGAGGGAAGCAAATTTTGAGGAGAGATTTGAAAGAGGAGTCCAAGGGCTATTTTTTCCTAGAAATATGGCCATCAACTTAAGTTAGTCAGTTATCTGTGCCATCTCCATGCTTAATTCATCAGACAGGTAAATGAAAAAAGTGAGTGCAGGTTAGGACCTGCTTGCTTACTTCCATTAAAGAAACAGCTGATTTACAAACAAGAAAATGCTGTCTCACAAGAAATGACTCCATGAACAGATAGTGCTTTTTTATCCTCCTAGTGAAAAGCAAGATTTTGAGTGTTTCACTGATGCTAATTCCTTTTTAGCAGTGCAGTATGTTCCCTAACCTGGAGCTCTCAATAGGCTCTCTTCCCCACAGAATGGTATGCAGGAGGAAAAAGTTCAAAGGTCCTGTACAGTGGGCCCAAGGTATTGGAAGAAAGGAAGTGAACAGAACATGCATGTGCACCTGTGTATTGAGTATCCGGCAATTTTTGGGGCTTGGAAATCAGCTGTCAAGATGGGAAAATACCAGATGTTTCTACTCTTGGAAACTTGAGGATGAAGTTAATCTCATCTTTAGCACCAACTTTATAATTATGGCAGAGTATGTGGAAATAACTATGTCACCAGCCTTGGTTTCCACACAGACTTTTCATCACCCTCTCCTTCATTAAAACTATTTCTGTGCCACAGTTGCATCTGTGCATGAAAGAACCCCATGGACTATCCCAGTCCATTTAAGGATTTCTTGTCATGGTGTTGTGGTAGCAAGAAGCAGAAACACACATGTAGAATAACCATGCTGGTTCTGACCACACTTGACTTGGGTTATATGTAGGTTTAGATTAGGCAAATGCCTGTCTGTGCAACTGCATACATTTGCTATTTGTTTCTAAAGTTGCATTTAGGGATGATACCACAGTGGAAAATATTAAGGAAAATTGTAGTGTAGAGAAGAACTAGCACAGGGAATTCCACAGGCCACTGTAGCCTTTTCAGTCACTCACAGAAGTGTTTGCAAAAACACCCAGCCTAAAGCTGATCTGTCCAGACTTCAGTCAAGAATGCTTGACTTGGAGAGAAAGCATGATAGGCCAGTAATTAATATATTTTACAATGCTACTGTTAATTATCTGGTATATTTAATCCCTGACTTCTCTACCACTCCAGTAATTGTTTTGTGTGCTCATGAAGTGACAAGCTTCCTTCAGAGATGAATGGACTGCAATTATAATATGTGCCATTGTTTGATATAAATGAAATACATTGTTTTGTTAAGTTAAAAAGAAGTCAAAGAAAGAGATGTTCCATGACCTGTCTAAGGTAGCTGAGAGCAGCTCAGCAAAAGACTGCTCAATTCATTTTGGCCTATATTCTGTGTTATTCTTTGTTGTCACTGTTATCATCTGCTTCTTAGCTCTTAACAGTTGCTTAATAGATCATCAGCATCGGCATCATCAGCAGGAGCAGCAGCAGCATCATTGCCTGCATGATCTATTGGTTAAACCAAGAATGGAAAACAGTGATCTTTGCATTCATTCCAGGCACTCTTGAAGTTTCAGTTTGATTACTGGCCTGCATCAGCTTTAAATTGAAAATAAATATATGGTTCCCAAAAGCCATGTAGTAAATAAATTGCAGAAGTTGCAATTATTTCCTTTTCCTGCCTATCTTTATTTCTGCTTTGAAAACTTCTGTGAGAGCCAACTATTGCAGGACATGCTTTAGCTCCTGGGAATGCTCTCTCCAGGAGCTGTATGCTCAGTATGAGGATGTGAGGTGTTTGACCATCTCCTGCTATTTCTCTAGGTTATGTTTCTAAATCTTCCCTGCAAATATTAATAAAATTAAGAAGCTAATTGCTAGAAGACAGCTGGCAAAAATAATTGCTCCTTTAATTACAATTAAATTTTTATGACAAGTGCCAAAATGTATATATAACAGCCCATAAAACAAGTCTTGGTCAGACATGCACAAAGAAACAGGGGATGAGCCCAGTACCTTCCTCTTTTCTTGCTTCCTCCTTGACAGTAACTACTGGTAAAGATTCTGTGACTCAGCAGCTGAGTTTAGACAGCCCAAACTGTTGAATAGGACAGGAAGGAATATACAAGATGGAGAACTTGTAAACACACCAAAAATGTCCAAGTACTTTGATACTGAGACTGCTGTACTTGCTGCTCTGAGTCACAGTGCTTTATATATAAGAAATTAAACAAAGAAGCCAAAGGTCTCAGAATGAAATTATTACAACCAATGCTGATGGAAAGTAAAATACCTGAATGTGAAATCACTTGGAAGTAACCCATGTGACAATCACTCTTTGTCTTAGCTATTTTTAAGCTCTTTAGTAGACTGGCTGTACCCAATGATAAGAGAATTGGCAAAGAGCAGCTTTCCTTGGATGTACATCTGCCAAAGAAGAGAACAAAAAAAAATGCTGAATTGGCAAGAGCAACCTCTTAGTCTAAATGAAGATGATAGATTGAAAAACAAAGAGGGTTGTTGGTAGCCTGACTTACAACTTTATTATGGGATCAGCTTTCACCTTTCATGACTTTTTTGTATAAAATACTTTATTTAAGAATTTAAAAATAAAACTCAGATCCTTCTGGTCCTTCCAAGATTTCCAAAGAGCATATGGGAGTGTACAAAACAACATTTTGCACGTTGTTTCATGGACTATCAAAACCCACCACCTATCTTGGTAACATTTCCATTTTGGTGTGTCATAATATGACATATTTGAAGATGAACACAATGAAGTACCTTAGACACAGGTAATATCAACTGTTTGGGTTTTCTCTTCATATGTTAACAATTTTTTTTAATTTGCTTTGTTGTTGTTGTTGTTGTTGTTGTTTTGTCATTTTACCAAGAAGGTAGGATATCCTGCTTTTAAACTTTCATAAGTAGCAGTGAATTTTCCTGTTTAAATATTGTATCTCTTAGGAAGCTTTTCTAGAGAAGAAAGATGACCAAGGTTATTTTGACAAGTGATTATAAACCTATAGGAATTAACTAGGTTTGATATTCAAAGCCATAAATTTTCAAAATGTAGGCAAAATCTGAAACTTTCGTATTTTTTTCTCCCTAGAAAAGTGAACCACAAAACTAAAGCTAATTCAGAGCTGTTCAGAAAGATCCAAAAACATTTCCCTACTCTTACTTTCACAGTTTTGAACTTGATTTTGATTGTGAAGTGAATTTAATGATGTCTCAACCATTTGAATGTTTCCTGAAGGTGGTATTTATAGATTGCTGTCACATCATGACATTCCCAACAAAGCAGACAAGTTAAAAGCCAAATTCTGTTTTGTGCTAGAACTCTTGAAGAAGTTGAGATAATGATGCATTTTGTAGTAAGATGTCAACAAACGAAAGGAGGCAGCCTTCTGAATTTTTAGTCTTTCTATTCGCTCTGGGTTTTAGTCACAGTATCACACACTAGTCTATGTCCCCAGATTCAAAATTACCAAAGTTCAAATAAGATAAATAATTTTCCAACATATGGCAAAGACTGTTCCACACATATAACATATGGATAGATATAGCATATGGATGATGTCGGACTTAGGGCTTGAGGAAAAGCCTGCTGAAATACTAGATACAAGAAGGAAGGTGAGAGCAATAGCCTTTTCTTGGTCAGTGACATAGTTGGATCAGATTCATGCTGACATGTAGGCCCATGTCACTGTTCTGGCAGAGTAAAGGAGCCTTTGTTTCAGAGAAAATTGGCTGAACTGAATGTGAAACTGTAAGGATCGTTTAAGCTGTTGTACTATCCAAAGCTGCTTGTGCTGTGGGATGTTCCTGGTGTTAAACATGGAAACTCAGGGAAGCTCTCAGCTTGCAAGACTCCATGCATACTTCAGGGCAATGCATATTCAAGCAACAATGGATCTATTGTTCACTAGATGGAAATCCAAAGGACCACTTGAATTGCCTTCATCTTACACTCATACCAGTATGTGTTAATCTGTAATATAACCAGTAATGAATGTAATATAGAACACTGCTTTTACTGCTTTTACTTATGGGTGATTGAGAAGGAGGGAAAGGATTTTTCAGTTTTACAGCAAAAATTATTACAGCAATGTTTTACTCGACTCTGAAACATTTTTCTTTCAGCTGAGTAGCATTAGTCCCATTACTATGAAGAGCTTTTTTTACCTGTGTGAGAGGGGCACTCAGTAGCACAGATTTGGAAGTGATGAACAATTACAATTACATCAACATAATACATGTCACATTATAGCACATGTCCTTGTTTCTCTGTCCTCTTGTTTAAATTCACTGCTGGGAGCTATGTCAGCATCATAACAGAGGGAATCCTATAAGCTCTCCTTGGGGTACAATTTTGAGTATACATCAGCAAATGACAACTAGCACTTGGCTTCAGCTACTGATTCTCTGGCTACATGGACCCTTTTATGTCTGTATTCTTTCCCTTGAGGCAAATTCTTATTTATTTCCTGACTATTTCTTGATTTTCCTATTCTTATTTAATTCTCTTCCTCATATCTTGTACTATGTTTCTCTCCCTGCTTTTTTTTCTTTTTGATAATGCCTCATCCTGCTTCCCATAACTTCCCCTTCTCTCCCCTTCCCTATCATGTTTTTCATTACACAGATCATCCAGTCTCTTGGATGATCATTCTTATCATTCTTATCATTCTTCCTCAACTCTGCATGTTCTTTCCTTGCCTATGGTGGGGGCACAAAGAACATGAGAAGAAACCCCCAGCCACTTCCAGCCCAGCTTACCACCTCTGCTCCATACATCAGGGATTTGCACTTTGGCTCTCCCATGCAGTGTAGTCCAACTGAGCTTTCACTGCCACATGGATGAGGAAGCCCCAACACTACTCCCATGCTGGCTTTGTGTAACCATGGGCATTATCCTTCTGCCAAAACATGGTGGGAGCACACCGTTGTGTTGCATTCGGAGCTCTGGCAGCGTTTCAGTGTGGCTAACAAGCAGGTAGGGAAGCAAACTTCTGCCACTGTGGGACTGCCTACAGAGTGCTTTGCAAACAGCACTGCTGTTCTCTGACACATGTGGTCCATAAATGTACAAAATGAAGAGGCTGATGGATGGGATAGGTACCTCTGTTCCAAAAATGATCTGATGCATGAATGCACCCTGCATTGAAACTTTTCTAAGTGAATATAAATGAGAACGCTGCCTCTGGCAATCATCATCGCTGTCAGAGGAATGTAACCCTTTCCATTACAATTCACCTGGTTGATTCTGGGATGTTATGACATTGAGGAATTTCATTATTCTTTCCACCACAAGCAATCAATTTGTGCCTTGAAGCATAAAATTCAAGTATGCTTGAAGTTTTGCTTTGCTCACATGGTACATAAATGTTACTAGTCAAAGTTTTCCAGTGCTCTTCAAGTTCCTGTCACCCTTATTACAGCCTTCTGTAACACATGACTGTCACAGGCTGGCATTTTATGGCATAAGTAAAAGTTTTACTTTCTACAGGACACCTTTCTGGCTTCCTTCACCTCTAAAACACCAAGAACTTATAAAATAAGAAGACTCATTAGCAAGCAGCTCTCAAGGTCAACTTTTCTCAGTAAGTATAAACTGGCATAGCAAAGCTTTTACTCCTACTGGGATAAATTTAATCCAGAGTGTTTTAAACCCAGGTCTTTAGTAAAAGCTGAGAGATAAATTTGGATGGTGGCATTCTGGGGGATGGGGGGAGATTTTTTCTCCTCTCAGAGCTAAACATAGTTCTGGCAAATAGCCCCAGACTGAAATTCTTGAGAGAGTCATAATAAGCAAGCCAGGGCAAAGAGGAATGTTTTTTTCTCCCTGACTAATTCTTCCACATAAAAAGGTGAAAGGTCAAAGATGAACTTTAATACTAATGCAATTCTGAACTTCTATGCAGTAATCTGTCAGAACATTAAAAAAAAAGTCAAAATAAAAAGTGTTTTATTGTTGGCAACAGCAGGTTGGTTTTATAAGCATGTATATCTCCATCCTGATTTCTTTTAACCTTTGGGAGAATGGGAACTTTGAGATATTAAATGCAGACATTAAGCAATGCACAGTAGGGGTTTTGTGAGTTCAGCCCACCCCATACTTTTCCTCTTATGTGCCCTTCTGCATCATTCCAGCTGACAAAAGGAGTCAATTAGGGCTGTCTTCATGTTATCACAAGCTCTCTTTCCCGAGCGTTTTTTGACCGAGACGGTCATTCTTGAGGTTAATTTCCTTCTGCCTTCTGTCGAGGAATATTTCATGTGGATTACCAAACTTCACATGCTCTCAACATAAAACAGTTCTGTTGATTCAAACTGCCCCTAAGAGAGGCAACTAGACAAATACATATGTGGATGTGCATGCACATTTAAAAATTTAAAAATATTTGCTCATGCTGAAGTCTATTTAAATTTAATCACTATAGCTGAAATACATGTAAGGAAAAATTTGTTATCTCTGGGTTTGTAGCACCACCCTTCTTGGGCTGGCAATGTACAAACAGGATGGTTGAGCTGTCCTTTTCACATTATAAGATTATCTGTGCTGGTGATGATGGCATACAACTTTTAATCACCATGGGGTGTGCAGATAGCAATCTAACCTGGGAAACACAAAGTATAACTTGGAAGTTCAGCAATGCTGGAGTGGCCAAATGCATATCAACCAGCAAGAATCTGCAGGAAACAAGGGGAGTGGCCAGAGCTCCAGAAGGTATAACTAATAAAGAAGGGTTGCATAACCTGGGTTTGTTTAGCACACAGACATGAAGACTGAGTGCAGGAGTACAGTTATGGAAGACAGAAAGGGACACAGAAATATGACCTTCTACAGAAAGAAAGACAACAGCCTGTTTTCCATGTCTATGTAAAGAGAGAAAGAAATAACACGTTTTAACTTCAGGAAATAAAACTAGATAGGACAAACTGCCAAGCAATGAGGGAATAAAGCATTCAGATATGTTTTTGTGAAGATATTGTGGCTTCTCTATCACTGAGTTTTTACAAACAGCTTAACCAGCAAAAGTAGATTTCAACTCACCTGAGGCTGAATCCCTCAGGAAAGAAACAGGCATTGCCAGCATGTGATTCATGTGACCCACTCCCACCGTACATTGGAAGGAGACAAATTTCACAGTGAAAGTGCCTGTTTTCCTTCAGGGGCTGTGAAAGACTCTAGAAAATCAATTCAAGTCTAAAGCTCTGTTTTGTAGATGTCTACAGCTCTGTAAGGATTGCACCATCTCTTGTCTCCGTAATGACACTGACAGATTGATTTTGTACTGGTAAAACCAGCAAGGCTTGATGACCTCTTCAGATTATTTCTAGACTATGGAGGAAGTCAAGAACTGTCACAAACCATTTGCTTAAACTAAAGGCCTAACTGAAAACCAAACTGCGTGTTCAGTAGGATGAGAGTAACAAAAATTCATTATTGACTAATTGCTGCTTGGCTGAATAGTTGGAACGAGATAGTGAATAATGTAATGGTTAATAAGCAAACAAGTACACTATCACCACAAAGTAAACAAAATGCCTTTCTTAATCAAAGAAATCAAGAGTAGAAGCAGCATAGATTTCCCTCTGAGTTGTTGACTGGCCTTTTCAAGATATCTTTTGTGAACCATAAAACTGTACAAAGAGGTAATGTGTGTATTGTTAGGTACACTGTATAAATAGAGGATTCCCATGTCCTGGGCTTATTTCTTTAGCATTACTTTTACTGGAAGAAAATTACTAAAAACTCTGTCATCTTGATTATCTGCAGCAAAAAATGGCAGAAACTGTTTTGAATTATATTCTCAGAAGACTCCCATTCAACCCTTCAATCCAGAAAAGTCCAAATTCACTGGCAGAAATTCCTTCCATGCCAATGATAAGCTGCCGAATCAGCTCAAAGCATTCAGCCTGTCTCACAATGAGTGCACTTAAGAAGCTGGCAAGCCTGGAAGGCAAATGCAATTATGGAACCCAGCCTTCCTTTAAAAAGTTTTGGATCCTGAGAATCAGCTAAAATTAAATGAATTGGTGTAATTTTCCCTCACCTTTTTCAAGGCAGTACTCTATTTTTCAAGGGAAAGTGTCATGAAAACCTCACCTATAAAGTTCCTCATGCTGAGAAATTAGCTTGGCTGGCACAACTAGTTATAAATGTGTACTGTGCCTTATCACTATGCTGTCTCCATATTTTCAACCTAGACTCGTGTAGGAACAGCAATGAGAAGTTACCAGTGGATTTAATGAAATCTTTGTTGGGTTTCCCATCTCAAACCTGCATGCTAGGACACTGGCTGAGGAAGGGAAAGTCTGGGATTGGTTAAAGTCCGACTGGTTTCACCTGACCTTTATGGGAGTCTGGTACATATTCATATCTTGGGGAAGAAAACCCATGGATTTCCCTACTCTTCGTCCCAGGCTTTGCATTTATGCTTGGATTTCCCCACAGATGTCTCTTTATAGGTGTGTGGGAATTTCACCACTAAAGGTAAATGCAGCAGGTGTTACCAAGGGTAAGCTTTCTCCTCTTCCTGCTTTATTTCCTTTTCATTTTTCCTCTTCCAGCTTCCTCACACATTTGGTGAGCTTGTGGCTGGTTTTCACACTTAGCAGGTTGCCAGTGGCACAAACCAGGCACTATGCTGCTTGTTGGAGAGGCCTCTGTCATTGTTTGAGATAAATGGAGAATCTGGACTAATGGACCAAATCCATCTGTGCTTACACTAAGTAAACACTAAGTAAGTGTCAGTAACTTTCACAGCCCTTGCTGCTTTGCTCAAGCATGGGAACACGTTTCCAGACCCATGGATATGGGTTAGATTTCAGGTTGCTTTCCCCTCTCTATCACATCATGGTGTCAGTTTGACATGCTCCAGAAACTGGAAAATGCAGTTGTTGAGAATTGTGCTGCTAGAGGTGAATCAGTCATATCCAGAGGTGATTACACATCTAGAAATGTAATCATTTAATGCCAGTGCCCCTCAGCCAGCTCCCATGATATTGAACTGCTGTTCCATGCTGTATGGCACTGATGGGGCAAAGAGGTATCTTGGCTTAAGTTCATTCTTAAACTGGAACAGCACTGTGTTTTGCATGTATGTAAGCACACCATGTTTTATTATTGTAGGATTCATGTTATCCTTGTAATTTCTTCACAAAAAGCAAGTGATTATCGAATTATAAACTACACAGAAAAGGCATCTACTTTGGAAAAAAAGAGGAAGGAAAATCTTATGGGAAAGAAAAGTGAAGGAATGTTTGGTGTTTGGTAGTTATTTTAACTCAGCACAAACAATGCTTTTGAAGAGGCACTTCTTGCAAATAAAATGTTGGTTCCCTTCTGCCTCCTGCCTCTCAAGCACACAGCTCCCTAGCATTTTGAAAGCACAGGAATTAAGTCCTGGCTGAAGATCTTTAGATGGGGGCAGGGGGAGAGAGTGGGATTGTCCATATGGCAGGAAGCACATGCCACAATCAGGAGAAACAACTGCCCCTGGGAGCAACTACGTTATTGTGATGCTTCTGTAAAACCATTTCCTTGAGGCATCTAAGAGACTATATAGAAAGCTGTCTAAAGGCAAATGTTTAATATCATACAGCATTTCCTTCTTGCCTAACGTGTTCATTAAAACTTGAACCTAATTCTTTTTTTTTTTTTGAGGCCATGAATTCCTTCTCTCAAACTCATTTGTATTTATTTAGCTGAACAAAAATTTTAGTAGGAAATTAAGGATGGACTCTGTCCTAAGTGTACTAAGGGTAGCCTTTTAAATTATTAGACACAGAGACAATTGTGTTTCATTTTGAGGGGGTTTTTTTCCTGATCATCTGAGGAAATTCCAAGGACCAGAGGAAATTAGTTATCTGCCTCCAGAAGAAAGTATGTAAAATTAAGTAGGTTTTTAATCTTTTACACAGTTTGAGGGAAACCTTCCCTTCCTGGGAACATTAGTTGTGCTTCATCAAGGCTTTAAAAATTAAATATATACAAAATTGTTTGATATATTTTGCCAAGGATGACTTCAGAGGTAAAGAACCTTCTTCTCATGAACTCTGTGCATTTTCCTCCCTAATCCTAAAATTTTACTCCAATTAAAGCAATAACCTTGCACATATTGGTATAAAAACAGATGTGCAGGATTATACCAAAGGCTCATTGAACTTGTCCACCATCCTGTCCCTGTGAGTGCCTGGTTACTGTGGGAGGAGTGGAACAACATTTAAAAGAAGATCCTTCTTTTTGTGATCCATATCAGCCATTAGCAGTTAACAATTCAGTGGACTTCCATTACCAGGGGATTAACAATTGAGGGATTTCCTCAACCAAAAGTTGTGTCTGGGCCATGACTTTTCACAGTTGCCAACAGAGCCAGCCCTCAGGAATGTATCTAATTCCATTTTGAACACACTTACACTTTTGGCCTCCTCAACATCCTGTGGCAACGAGTTCCACAATTTAATGACGTGCTGTAAGAAAAAGAACATCCTTTTGTTTGAAATCTGCTGTTTATCTCTTCCTTGGTGCATCTGATCAATCTGTGCATTCAGAAACAATCAATAATTATTTCTTATTCCTTTGCCACAGCATTTCTGCTTTAAAAAGATCTCTCTAATCTCATCTTAGCCTCTTTTATAAGCTACCTTATTTAGTCCTTCATTATATGAACAGCCATTCTATATTTATATCCCTCACTGAGATGTGATGAAGACAGTCACGTGCTGTGTACCAGAATCTCAAGAATGTTTTGTTTACCCTTTGACTAACATTGTGCTTGCATTACAAAGAACGATCAAAAGTTTTCAGGGATTTGTCAATGAATGAGTCTTAGATCTCTTACTTCAGTGTTAAAAGCTATTGTATCCATCTGGCATCTTTATGAATAATTCTGACTCTCTTTCCTCATGTAAATTACTCTGCACTTAGTGACTAGCAGACTACTAATTTCATATACCAACTGATTATCAGTTAGTGAGTATTGCACAATGCTTCTGGAGCTGTCTGTAACAAGCTTTGAACATTCCAGACACAATCAAGCATGGCCAATTGATCAATCAATTTTTTCATCTCTGGCACATGACAAATTTTTCAGAAATACAGAAAAAGGGAATTGTAGTCTACCCTAAATGTAATGACTTCATCCTTATGACTATTACTTTTAAACTGCAATTGGGCCAGTCTCAGATCATCAGCAGAGGCTGTGCTGTTGTCCAACAGAAAAGTACCATTGCCTATTTTAGAATGCAGAACTTCTGAATATTATTTATTACTTTGCTTTTGAACTGCTCTGAAGATGACTGTGACCCTTTCCAACTTGTGACTTCTGGCAGAGTTGCATTTGAAGCTTCTTATCTTTCTTCTGGTATTTGCAAGTCACTACTGTATGCAATAACACCAGGAGAGCAGAAGCTGCTACTTCAGGCAGGTTTTCAGTGTCCCCCTATCCTCAGAGAATGCTGGTATCCTGCAGAACGGCTTTGGTCGAGTGTAACAACCAGCCAGTCCTGGGAAACTGTTCTGAACTGCTACAGCTCTTGGTAGCATAAAGCTGTTCCAGCTGAGCACAGGAACAGCTGGGTGAGCCTGTCTGGAAATTGCTTGAAGATGGGTTGAATACTCCCCTGGAAACAGCAAAAAGAGCTCCCTTTGCATGGGATGTTCACTCTATCAGCTGAAAGGCCATAGGAGGGGTAACCAGGTGGAATAGGCTCGTGGGCTGATTATTTACCATATGAGAGACATTAGGAGTGTTGACAGGAAGGACTATTAACACATTCCTTCTAAAAACAAACTCCATTCTTCCTTAAACAACAGCTAGCTTCTTGTTGAAGCAAAAGAACCAGCCACCTTGCTTTTACCATTCAGCTTTTAAAACAAATAAGACCATGATGACAGTCTAATTAGGTTTTAGGTTTTACTCCTCATGCATCTTTTGTTTATATCTGTATCAGAGGAGGACTAAAATCGAGCATGTACTGGTAGCTAATCTTGGTTGCAGTCAATTACAGGTAAAGGAAAAGTAAAAGTGACAAAATCAACAACAAAACCAAACTAAAATGTTGCCTATACATGAGAATGTCTTTAAATTATTTTTTAAATAGTTTGTAAGCTGTTCTAAGGATTAATCAGTTTATCAGCCAGGAAGAAATTGCATGTTATCATGATCTTTCTTTCAAAACTGATAAATTATTTCCATATGGGAATGCAAAAAAGGTAACATGGGACAGAATCAAACTGCATCTCAGTAATTTGTTACCTGAGACTCAGAGCTGTTCACAATCATTTTCCTCAGCTGGGGGTCATTCATATTAAAGCATGTCCTCTTAATGAGTTTGTACAACAGGCCCTCAGTTCATTGTGTATTTTATGGAGTATTTTCTCACTTTGTCTCCTTCAGCCTTGTAAACTACATGTAGTAGGTTTGGAAGATGTTTTAGTTTTTTTCCTGCATTTCAGTTTTCCTATTAATTTCTCTCACTTTCCCACCAGAGAGACAATGTTCCTAGTGTTACCAGGAGAAAAGCAGCTCTGTGGTTAAATCTTCTCCAGATACGTATCCGTGGCGCTGTGCACAGCTAGCAGATGTCAGATAGGCTGCTGGTGTCACCCAGTGGACAGAGAGGTTGATCACAGACAGGTGTCATGTAGAGAAATTTTTCTTTCTGCAGGAATAGCTTGTTCCTGAGTGATTAAAACAGCCTTATTTTGCCATAGCAAAGATGACAGGATGTTTAAAATTACCTCTGTTCTACTGCTATGGCTGACACTAAAATGTACAGAGCAAAGACAGAAAGCAGTGCATGTTCCATTAGCAAGAATGAAGCAAAGAATAACCAAACAACAATTAGTGGGTGCTCTCTCCTACTGGGAGAAAGTAATTAAAATAACCAAGCAAAACAGTGTTTGTGCTGGTGTTTACAGAAACGTGGGGGGATTATCAAAACCCAATCCATTGCAGTTCTGTGCAATGCAAAACATAATTGCATTTTTGTAGCCTAATGACAGCTTGCCACAGAGGTAAACAGCTTGTCAGCAGGGGTGAACAAGATCTGGAGAATCCTTTCCTCAAAGTGTTACAACAGTAATGTATTTCACAACATGCAATGTACACCTTGCATGCAAAACTTCAATGGAATAAATCACTTATAAATTAATCTCCTACAAAAAAAATTCTAGTGTTTCCAGATCATGTATGAAAACTAAATATGTACTTAAAACTAACATCAGTGCATGTTTCATCTTACACTTTTTCTTGATTTGTGAAGAGTGCTTCTCAATGTTGCAAAATGAAAGCTTTCTTATTTTTTAAAGACTAAAATATGCTGTTGAGTGCTGTACATCAAGACTTTTTGCCAGAGAGGAAGCAGAAACAGGGTTAAGTACATATAGATTACTAGATCACATATATAATATTCCTTTTCTAATACTGTGGCAACTGGCATGTGCTTCTTGCCCCTTGCAGGTGGAATGAGAATGACCTGATGCATTGAAATTCCTGAACTGCTCATAGGTATAGAAGAGTCGAGGCTGCTGGGACAAACAGTCAGTACTCCTGAGGAGGAAAGATGAGCATTCTGCTCTCCTGATGCCTCAAATGTTCTTAAAATGCATTCACTCACTTGTAACCAGACCACAGAAGTGACTGCAATCGTTTTAAGATCCCAAAAACCTGCCAGAAGCTATGGTAGGTCTCTTTTCTAATAAGGAACCCTTACCCTTAAGGAACCCTGTGAATGTGTCTGCAGAACTGATATCATGTGTGAGGGGGCAAAGGGAAGCCAGACAACCCCGAAGCAATAAGGGAAGTACAATTATATCATTAAGCAGGTGGTACATTTTGCTTGACCAATTAAGTTAGTAACATTCCTTCTACATAAGCCCTTATAAACTCAAATCTCTCTTTCAGATCAGATAGCAATGCTTATTTACACTGTAAATTTGATGGCAGGGGCTTCTTAATGTCTCAATTTCTCTTTGCAAATCTATTTAACTTTTCCTAGAATTAACAGCTCCTCTGATTTATAAAGCTGGACTTCATAGTTGCAAACACAGAGGAGGTAGCTAGTCCCTGTGCAACTTTCTTATGGATTTGTCATAACTCTGTAGACCCCAGATTTTCAAAATCTTATGGCCCTACCATTAGTGGACAGGGGCCAACTGGACCAGCACTGTTGAGATGAGGAGGCAATATACAAACCTTTTTTTCCACTTATTTCCCAAATAGGTTTTTGGGTCAATTTTCCAGGAGAAAGGAAAAATATGAAAATTTACATCTGAAGACATCCTTACTTTCTTCCTCTTAAAGGTAGATATTTAATTCAGATTTAGCCCTTGATTCTTAAGCTAAAAATCCTGTTAGTGTTGAAATGTATGGGAATTCTCTCAATGACTTCATGAAGGCCAGAAGGTCACTTCCTCTATGCTAGCTTTTAAAATGCAAATCAGAAATGATAGTTGCTGTGTGACTGATTTCTCAAGAACTGGGAAAATAGGACACAGTGAAATAAGTAATTTGAATGCCTTAATTGGTACTGAAGCTGCATGTATGCAGACTCAAATCCTTTTAACATTTAAATTTCAGTGCAGCTCCACTCCTATCTGGTGGCAGGTGGAATATTTTGAATACAGAAGTCACTGATGTTTACTGTTGTGCTCTCTGTGCCACGATAAAAATGCCTTTTCAGTCTCTACTACCCCTTCTACTGTTAACTCTATTGAGAAATTTTGAGGTAACAGACAACATTCAGTGAACATTGAACAAAAAAAAAACATTTTTTTTTATAGTGTTCATCATATTACTTATCTTTTGCTTTTCTGCCTTCCCAAACTTTAGCCTCCTCATACTTCCAGTCCTACATACAGACTTACACAAATATACTTTGTGCTGTGTATTTCCTTAGTACTTGGCCATGTGAAGGGATGATGGTGCCTCTTATTAAACCACTGCTCACTAAGTTTATACCGTAAGGAAAATGATCTAGTTTGAAATTTTCTAGCAGCATGCTTCTGTGTGGAATGTTTTTTCACTCATTTTTATTAGAAAGTGCTGATTCCTGGAAACCAAAATGATTCACTAGCAACAAAAAGATAGTTTTCCACACTGCTACCAAATGACAGATTTCTGCTCAACTAAAGCAAAAGCTTCTTGTGGTTACTAATCTTTGAGTCCCACAAGGCCACAGAAGTCATACACATACCACAGAGCTTCCTGGTACTCTGCCACAGAGTTCTCAAGTTTTAGGGCCCTGCTTTTACATTAAGTGATTTTTCAGGGTTACTCCCTCAGCTGTTTCAGAAAACAGAACGATGTAAGGAATTCACCTAAGCTAGGAATGGCAATTTACTCCATCTTCAAAGGTACAGATTCAAGTAATATTTAGTTTTCAGAAACATAAAATATTTTGGTAGGAAATTCTAGTATTTCTAAACTTTTGTTCCCCTCTGGAAATATTTTTTTTTAATAGGAATTTCCTAATTTCCTGTAGAACACATATCAGAATGGGTGCCAGTTAGAATTTCTGGTGAGACAACTTTATAGACAGTTTAGCAACCAGATAAACATAGAATTTTATAAAAACAAACCTCTTTAAAGTTTTTAAACATGGGTTGGAAAAATATCTACCATCTGGTAGAACCCACCTGAGCACAAGTCATACCTCTGTTTTTGTTTTTCCTGCATACAGCTGCTTTGTTTTGTTTTCACAAGTGTCCTTGTTTGTTTTTGAAGATGAGACAGACTGTTTTAATCTGCTCCTCAGTGGACATTTGATTGTCAATGAGATGATCGTACTCCAGGTGTGGTAGACAGGAAATCTGATGATTACTTCTGCTGCACATCTTTCCTTCCTTTCCCATAACTCTGTGAAGCACAGTAGGGATGTCACCCACAGCATGTCCCTGCCATGAGAAAGATGAAGTATCAGGGAGAGTGTGACCAAGTTAGATTAACAAATAAATCAAGTACACATTGAAGAGCAGCAGAAAACTGTCTCTATAAATGAGAAGCCTAGGCCCAGTCATCCCCAATTATTTAAGGCGTGCTGTCATCTCAGCATTTCAGGTGTTTCTTAAGGCCTGATGCAACCAGCAGTGCTGCAAATCTCCTGGCTCCTGCCAAAACAGCCTCTGAAACCCAGCCAACAGGAGAAAGAAGGATGTGCTTTAACTGGATGAGCTAACCAGGCAGGCTTTGGTAGCAGCCAAGAGCAGACTTCAAAGGTTACTCCCTAATGATCTGAAGGTCTCGTAGGCACCTCTTATCTCAGGCAGTTGATTGTGGTATACTAATTTTATCTTTATGTGAATGTGCTACATGTGTTAGCATTATTTGTCTTTTACAAGTGTGGTGAAGACTAATTTGTTTAAGAAGTCCTTTGTAAATTGGGGGGATTCTGTAGGTTGTTTGGTCCTGTAAAGCAGGCAGCAGGAATGCCAAGATCCAGAGCCTTATCTTTACACCTCCAATGAAGACATCATACCATCAACAAACACCTGCCACTCTGCTCTGGTTCACTCCTCTCTTGTTCCTTTAATTTTGCTCATTTGTATACACTGTGGAGTTTGTAAAAAACTATTGTTGCTATTCACCCATGGGAAAGGCATCAATAAAAGCAGACTTGCCTCAAAGATACAAGGGAACCTTGAACTACCAAAGATGCAGTGACAAATCACGTCACCTTTTCCTGTTAAAAGAAACCGCAGACACAACACAGGACAGCTGAGGATTGTTCAAGTTTGAAATGCTCCTGCTGTTCTTACCCACACACAATTCATCCCATGCCATGGTGTCATGGCTTGGAGGAACAGGTGAACTACTTGTAAACTCTTACCAGCAGTGTTTGCACTGGAGCCATCCTTGTCCAGCCTTAGTTCAGATTCCTCACTGGGAATTAATGGCATACAGCACATTCCTTCTTTTATTTACACTGAGCCCAGCCACAGGCAGCTTCTCTGATCTGATTTTACTATTCAGTAAAGCAGAAGCCCTGCATGAGAAAACAATGGTAAGTAAGGGAAGGTTTAATGGCAAAATGAAACAGATGAGCAACTTGCATCAGCAAGATGTTCCATGCCTGGGTGAAGTCAGGTTTCAGAGGACTGCCAAGGGTATTGCAAACCTCTTTGCTTTAATGGATTGAATGAAAAGGCATTCACCTGAGACTAGCAGATTATTAAAAATCAAATATAGACCATCTTGTACTTGTAAAGGAAAGGACTCAGGAAAGATGCTGTAAACAATTTCCCTCTGTTCTGCTGGCTGCCCTTACACATTTTAAGAAGGCAAACAAAGTAGCACGAATATGACTCTAAACAAACTCTGAGAAAGCAAGTCTGATGCTCAGATTTTCTATATATTACACTTGTCAGGTGGTGGCACTTGAAAGGGCAAAACATCAATCAAGCACAAGATACATAGAGCTTGTATCTTCATAAATGCTGGTTTAGAGAAGCATTGCTCTCAAAGAGAGTTTTTTGGAGGTAGCTATCACAAATAGTATGTGATATAATGGCTAATAATACAAAAAATCCTATTTCCTAAAATAGTATTTAAAGATCTAATATGAGCATTTTTCCAAACCTTCACAACTGCAGCTTCCTTGTTGCTGCTTTTAGAATGTCTTATGAAGTACTGATAAAAACACATCATGAAAAAAGAGTGTAAATTCTTACTGTGTGGCATAAATAAGCAGTCAGAAAAGAACCAGCTAGTGACCAGGGGGAAACCAGTTCTTTCATCTCTTCTCCTTGTCCCCCTCATTCACCTGACAGGGTAAGAGTATGGTTCCTGCTACATGCTGTGAGGAGAAGCATCTGATCTACAAGGAGAGGAGTTTCTTACTTGGGAGCTTGGCTGCTCTCTTTCCCCTTCCCTTGTGATCTCTGCACACCTGAGGTAATTGAGAGAGCATCTGCAGACTGAATGATGCCCTTCTTAAGGGCTGCAGAGGAAGGTCAGACATTTTCTGAAGGTGTATGCAATTCCCAAAATACACCAGCACTGCCAGAATCAGTGACAAAGGAGGCCTTGATTTGGGAAATGATAGTGGTTTTGCACTTATAAATGTAATTCATCCACTCTGTGATACAAAATGGAGAGCTAATAGTGACTGTTAATCACACAATTACAGAAACACTGAAATTATAACTATTTTTTGCTTCTTTTCAACAAAATCTTGGTTTGCATGCCAACATTCTGTATTCTCTAAAAATGTTAGAGATTCTACCATGTGACAGTGTGACCAATAATTTAAATGCTGCAAATACTAATCTTTTTCAGATTTGCATCTGTGAATTACATCTAATATAAGTCCTTTCAGAAGAAATTAGTATAAAGATTCTGTGGCTGAAGATACTTAAGGGTTACATAGCCAAGAATCAGAATAATTTTCTCATCATTAATTTTCTCTAATCTCCTCTAAATTTAATTTTTTTTCCAATAGTTTGTCCAAATAATAGCAGTTTTGAAGGAAAGTATTTTCTGCCAGTAGAAAATATGGATGCAAAGAACTACTAAATGACAGGTAATGGCAATATATCTGGTTTTAATGATCGCTGATTATAACACTTAGGGCAGAGAATTGAAAGGATTAGCTGCTACTTAAAGGTGCAGCCCAGAGCAGGACATTAATTATGTTGCCCAGCTTCTCATAACCATGATCATGTCTAGTCTGGGAGAGTCCTTGGGGTGCAGAAGCCTCCCAGGCAGATGTGGAAGCAGACACTAACAGGGCTCCAAACACAAGGGTACTACTGTTAGAATCCACCTCTTGAAGAAAGACAATCACCAGCTATACTTAAATGTAAAGAGAGTATTTATCACTCCTGTTACGGTTACTCACTGATTTTATTGTAAGGCAATCAGATATTTGCTGGCTTATGAAGTTTTGCTGTGTATTAACTATTTGAATTGCTGACAAATAAAAAAACCAAAAACTAGAGCTATTTTATTGCTATAAAAAAAGATTATTCGATTTTTGGAAAAGAAGAATATTAATTGAGAGATTCTTTCTGACTATAAGAATCACTGTTTAAAATTTAGAAGGAAGATAATTAGTAAGAAACAAAGAGCAAAGAACAAAGACAAATTCTGATTTATCACAAGGTTTAGACCATTTTTGGTGTTTCCAGCTGAAACATGAAATAACAGTTACAAGTATTTAAAATGCCACTAAATACAGGCAATATTATGATGTAAGCAAATATCATCTTCCATATCCATTTTCAAAAAACTAAAGTTTAGCTTATGAAATATAGTTTGAATTTTTGTTTCCAAACAAATAAAAGGTTAGATTTTGAATAAGTTCAATTACTAGTTTATCTTCCCTCATTTAGAATGTTTCCTTGCCATGTAAGCAGAAAGGTGTGCAAATGAGAAGTTGGGAGATTTTTGCTAAATATAGTGGTGTTAGTAGTAGTAGCTTCATGGATTGTGTTCTAAGCTACATATTGTGGACATCTTACAAGGTGTCATTTAATAAGTGAAAAATTGAATTTCCCAGAAGTTCAGGAGTAAATCAAAATTTCTCTTCAAATTAATAAGATGTATACATGCTACCTATATGCAATGCATGCTTTTACCTTTTCTAGGCTAAATGGCTTCATACATAACAGGAAGATGGAAATAAAATCTAAAGAAACAGAATTCTATTTTTGTTTAACTTGGTTCATAGATTTCTTCTGCTTTTCCAACTGTTTCATACATTTATTTTTCCTGACTGGCAAATCACGCAAAAAATCTATTTCACCAAAACATGTTTCAATCTAACTACAAGACAGCCTTTGTCATAAAGATGTAGAGTTTTGGCTGGATAGTTAACCTAAATGGACACACAGCACACTGCATGGAAGTCAAGACCAGGCAGATATCAATCAGGATTTCTTGTGGCTTCATTCAGCACCCACCTCCTACATCACAATAAATTATAGCTACCTCCGAATGGGCAGTCAGTATACTTGGCATTTTCTCTGGCAGATCAGGGAACTCTAGATAAACTACAGATAATATTTAACCATCCTTTCAGAGGAAAAAAAAATATTCACCTATGTTCTGGTTGCACCTAAATACACTGGATGTAGGGTGGTAGAGACTTAATCAAGAATTGTGAATAGAGAATAATTAAATAATTAAGGAAACTAGACTGAAAAAATAAAGGCAGGAATAGGAACCTAACTACATAGAAATAACTGTCCCTTTAGGCCAGACCTAGGTGGACACTGGCATAAATTCACAGGAGTTTATATTTAATCTCTACACACTCTTCATCAGTCAGTGGCAAGGCAGTTAGCACATTTAAAAGGAAATAAACCTGGGGGGTGTAGTTGTGGGAAAGCTCATCAGTTCCAGAGTTTGCAGTGAAAACAATGTTTTTAAAGGGCCTTCACAAAATACAGTCCTGCAGCAGTTACAACACACCAACCCTTCAAACTGGAAGAGCCACACCCAGCAGCGGTGCCAAAGAGGAGCACACACTTTCATGTTGCTACTTGTAGAAGAAGCTAATTGCAAAGAACCCTGTAATCCTCACTGTGAAGGATTCATTAACTTTAAAGGGCTAAAAAGGATCTACTAACTCCAACAAGCTTTCATATTTATGTTTGCATGGAAGAATCATACTGAAGTCTCACAGAGTGATCCAAGACAGTTGGTCATAGATGAGGAAATTATCAATTACTCAAGGATGAAGTCTACAAACAAGTTTTAGTACTGTCATTCTCATTTAAATCCTGCAGAGTTAGCTTGTAGCTTAAGAACTGTGGACAGAGACAGCTCCTAGACCTTTGTCTGATGACTTCTGCCTAAAGTAAGTGTACTGAGACTGTTCATGTTTTGGAAGGTGGTGCTGCATAGCAGGAAGATGCTTTCTTCCTCTCAAACCACCTATACATCTGAGGCAGAGGCTGAGGAGTCACACATGGACAGAACTGGGAAGCTCCAGTCCTTGCTTTCCCTTTAACTACAGTGGGAAGGATTTGGACAGTGTTTAGACCCCAGTAAAAAAGTAACATTTTAGTGCATAAAAAGTTTTTTCTTAAAATTGTGGTCACTAAAGCCCTTAGCACTGTCTGTGCACATGGACCATGAACAATGCCCTGGTGACACCAAGCAGGGGTCTTGGAACTGTTGCTATTTAATCCAAAAGTCAGTTTGCACCAGCCTTTTCCAGCCTGACATTCCTACCCCTTCAAATGTTATGTTCAAAAACTAACAGCTTTACTAGACTCATTAACATTTTCATAAGGCTTCTGAAAACATCAAATTAATTTGATACATTTGTTAAATTTTATGATCTGTAACATTCTGTAATCTGTATTTGATAACACAAAGTCTTTCAATAATTATACGCCTTCAATTTTGCACACTTAGTAAAAACCAAAACTGTAGAAGCAGCATGATATTTTGAAATATCATGAAGATTTGAATTTGCCTGCAGATTTTACAGAATAAACAAAAGTCAGTTTACAGAAAAAAAAGAAAACAAACTAGTCCAAGTAAGAATATTTGCCTATATGAAACAGTCATGGCAGCTCTTCAGAATTTTATTGCCATTTGTTTGAAATTATTCAGTTATATCAGCTGCCAGCCTGATAGGATGAGCCAAGTAAAGAATTTGGTATGGGCTTGGATACCTGTCATTCTGTCAGGGCCTGATGTAGGCCGTGGATAAACTGCTAGGCAGGGTGCCAGTAGCTCTGTAGTGGGTAGCAGGAATTTAAAAAATCACTGATCTAACCCCTGTAAATAATGGGTTTGTACACAAACTCCATGCCTGAAGGCAGGCTTACTGACCAGGGTCATAAATGTTCTACCTCTGTTTCTGGAATTTTTGCAGTGTGTTAGGACCAGCTCTGGTAACTAAAAAAGCAGTGAGAGCCTTTTCCTGCATTGACTTCAGTGGAAAATAGATGAGGCCTGAAGTAAGGCAAACAACTGCCTGCTAGTGAATGTGCCCTAAAGCAAAATGAGGAATGGTTCATTTTCCTTGTT